CGACACCCGAATATTCGAATTTGAAGGTTTTGGAACTGAAGTTCAAATAATATTCGATCGTTCGAATATCTGCAAAATCGTCGAATATTTGTTCGATCGAATATCTACAAAGTCATCGAATACGATTGAGATTGCGTAATTATATTTAACTGAAATGTTCGGATAATTCAATTTTTGCTAGAATAGTCGAGTATTCGAAAAAAACGCACTACTCAGTTATTCAAATGTTCGAATATTCGGTCATGCCTAAAATTTATAATTCGAACAGTCAAATATAAAATATCCTCACTATTCGAATATTCGAGTTTGAATGTATTTTAAATGGCGATTCGAATGATATTCATTCGTTTAAATATTTTTATTACGACCGAATATTCGATATTCTTTTATTCGGAAAATTTTTCCGGTGTTCAACTGTAGTTATTACGCAAACAAGAATATAAACATCATCCCATAAAATCTCTCTTAGTGAAGCTATAGAAGTTCGAGTAGTTATGATTTATAGTCTAGTGGTATAGGCAACAGCTTGAGAGATGGACCATTGCGGGTTTAACATTGCTGGAATCACATGGATTTGCCACCAATATTATTGTAACTGGCAGTTAACTCGCAGTTAGGTCCTAATTTCATATGAAACTGGTAGTCAACTGCAAGTATATGACGATCGCTAATTCCGAGTTCGGTTAGACTACCACCTTTTTTTTCTCTTAGAATTCTGTCAGTAAGAACAAGTTTTGAGGATCTCACTGGTCATGGGGTGATGATGAGCATGTTCTTGCCAAGTTCGATGAAACCATACGACAAGCTTTGCGCAAGAAAGATGGCCCTTATGGTATTCTTAGTTTTTATTCTATAATATATCACGTAGTTATGATTCAAGCTTCTTTACAGGGCTCGATTACACTGACTATACAGCAGAAATCTACAGACAAATAGGTAAATGCAGTGAAGCAATGCATGCAAAGCATATAATTCCCGATTTTGTGCCCGCGCTTGGTTCGGACATAAAGGTTGGTACTTTTGCACGAAAAGAAAGATGCTTAGAGTCTTCTGTCTCATATTCGAAATGTTCGCCGACGTTGTTAAAGAAGTGTTTTTGAAGAACAATTTTTTGGACTAGCACTTGACTCACTCCGCAACCTAGATGAGAAGATGGATTTATAGTGCATGATGTTTGATAATTTCCTACTGAAAAAATACGAAAATAATCTGATTGTACGCTTGAACTTTTTGTTGGAGGAAACTTTGACTCAGGAATTTATTCCACAAGCAAAATAACAATGGGTTTTCTATAGAGGATATCAGTAAATTCCGTTAGCCTGCGCACCTACGCGCCGTACAAAAAATCGGGACAGATAAGTGGATTGTCTTGATTTGGTGTTCCTCCAGAAAATAAGAGCAAATAGAGAATGCACAAGCAACTTTTGAAGAGGTTTGAAAATCTTAGCATAGAAATAGCAATTGGTACTCCTCTAAGTTGCTAATTCCTGTAGAAATTAGAGTGTAAAATGAAGATTGTCCTCCTTTTACATATCAATATTAACTTGAACTCCTCTTTCAAGGGGGAAAACGGGATGGGGGTATAAAAGTCATTGCTTCCAATTTTCTCCATTCTCTGTCAGTCAAGGATTTGTCGAGAATCCGGAGTAAAATAATTGCTGATGCTCTTTCAAAAGAATATTGAAGGGCGAGTATGAATGCTAAATGAAGTTGTAAAACAGGGCAACAAAACTTTTTTGACTTACCTCTACCCAATTCATTAACAAAAGGTACTTGCGTCTACTCTAGAAAATAGTTTCAATCTTTTATTTGCAACTGGCTGCCTCATAGCTAAGCTAAACTTATTCCTTTATCGTAATTGATGAGTTTCGACATGGCTCACACTTGGTCTTTACTAGTCATTGTTCCTTTGCTTAGAATGACATATGTAGTTGAACCTATACATTTC